TGAATGAATAATAACAAAAATTATTGGAACACAACAGTCGACATTACCCATTACCTGATCCACGTTGCTAAGGAGTAGCTAACTAGGGTTAGTTATCAACCCTTGTTCATTATAACTGCAAAAAAAAAATTTTCTAGCCCTGTCAGAGAAAACAGGGGTCTTTTTTGCATGAGCATGTGCGACCGCTGAACAAGCGATGTGCATGGAGGCTCACCACAGGGTTTGCCTTCATCAAAATGGCGCGTCTCAAAGCTATCATAGCGATTATTTTGCTCGCTGGTCTTGGCGAATGTGCTCGTGATTTAACAATATGTGTAGTTTGCAAAAAAAAACTCTAACATGGTCTTAACAAAAGCGAAGTAGACCGGCTTTAACATACACGAGCTACTATCAAATTTCATCTCCCCACTGGACCTGGACAACAGCGCGCGTACATGTAGTGCCTGGAGGATTGCGCTGCCCTCATCAAAGTCTAAACAAAGTGCAGAAACGTTTGTTGATGCAAGTAAACACTTTCAATTTTCTTTGTTTTGAAATCGGAAAGGAAGAGAAATATTAAAAAAAAAAAACGTAGCAAATTTCAGCGAGTGGGTTCGAAGTGCGCGAAAGCCGATGTTCCGTTCAGCAGAGAATTAATATATGTTCTACAATTTTCCCAGCACTTTAAAGCTACAAAATTAAGAGCACACGAGACGTATATTAGTCACCTGGTGAGATGTTGGTGGTAGTCACTCTGTATGTCTCGAACAATAAAAAAAATGAATATCAATGAGACACAGTCAAAACTGCATTCAATAGGACCGACATTTAAGTCCAATCTTGTGGCCGATTTTGATGAAACAAACGGTTAGGTTTCCCAAGAAGTAAAGTAAACATGTGATGCCGACCAAACGTTAAAAATCATTAGAACATTTAAGTTCTGGCTAAAAGCAAATTCCTGTAAAAGATGCGTTACAATGTTAGTCCACGCAAAAACAAGAGGTTCTACAATTTTCCTATAAACAAAGTTTGTATCGCTAAAATACTTAAGGCAAAAACGTTCTATTCCAACTGAAAACGGCGTGGTAGTCGCCCTCTGATCGTTATTAATCCACTCCCGAAATATGGCTAAATCAGCTATTAACAAATAGTTGACAGAAATCCTCTACGGCATCGAGAAACTGGTTTACATCCGATTTATAGACAAACACTAAATAAAGAACATTTTGCTCAGTAGCTACCCATCAGCAATGCATTCTATGCCAAACTTTGCGGTTCTTAAAGGGGAATCAAGACACGAGTCGAGCGCCAAACAACAACAAGCAGCTATGTTCGTGTCAGACATCCTTACTCTTTTACCTCGTTCAGCGCATCAGTCTCCACTTTAAATCAACAGATCTTTACTTATTTTGTACAACGAAGGTCTTTCCTAAGTTCCAGCTACCATTTCAATCTCAAGCAAGCTTTCAAAGTGAACAATTTGGTTCCTATGACTATGCACCACGGACGCTGTCACTGGTCGCGTGCTCTTTGACAAGTCAGCGGTCGCGCATGCTCATGCAAAAAAGACCCCTGTTGTCAGAGAACAGGTACGGTGTAGATGTCCGATATTTCAACCACTGTGAATGAACCAATTATGTTGACGAAAACACTAGGTCTTCTGTCAGTACATAGTGGTGCAGATATATGCAATATATGTGGTCTGGAAATCGTCCAGTACTTTTCACCTCTCAAGACTTGCGAAATAACTTTTAATAAAATATCTTTTTTTATGAAAAGACTCGTTGGCAACTGTTTCATCTACGAAGTCAAGTTTCAAGATGTAAACTTTCCCCGAGATGGACCTGTTATGCAGAAGAAGACAAAAGGCTGGGAACCGTCCACTGAGAGATTGTATGAGTGGGAAGGGTGTCAGAGAGGAGATGTTGACATGGCCTTGAAGTTGGAGGACGGTGGCCATTATACGGTCAACTTCAAAACTACTTACAAGTAAGTTATTTACCCCTGCGCCTTCACAACTGCAATATAAGCAAAGCGAGACATTTTTAAAATTTACTTTTGTCTTAACCCTTTAAGTCCCAGTGGTGACCAACATCAATTTCCTCCTAATGATATCCATAATTTGTCAAGATTCTCTCAACACATTCTTTATGGAAATGTATAGAGGTTAGTTTGGAGAATTTGTATGTGGATATTGGGACTTAAAGGGTTAAACTGTAAAACAAATAGCCACTACTACGCAATAGTGCTTTTCGCCTTTCATGATAGCTTGTGATTTTGCACAATCGTGCTTCTCATATTCACGTGGTTTTTTCCGACTCAAACACGTAAAAAACTCAGAATCAGCTCGTACAGCATAATAAACAATAAGACCACAAGGGAAAAATAAATGTACAAATGGTTGTTTTAAGTGGTCACTACAAAGCATTTCTTCCACAGACCCAAACGTTAGAACCTCCTTGAACAATGAAGCAGTTTATAAACAGTACCACAAGAAAGTACTGCTTAGTAGCTTTCAGGTCTTATCATAAGATTTTATTCACAGACTCGAAAGCACGTTCAGTCAGAACGAACCAACTCTGGTACAACATAATAAATAGTACCACAGGAAAGTACGTATACCGGCCAAGAGGATCCAATTGAATGAAGACATGCACTTTTTAGGATTTCGTCCAAGAACTTAGACGCACGTAGCCATGTCGCAACGTTCCTCAGGGCTGTGCATAATGCACCCGCCCGATAACGCCGTTCTAATACTGAGAAGGGGATTTACGGAGCAAGTTTATAACTAAGATTTAAAACAAGAATAAGAAATAGTAGAAGTAACTCCATGCAAGTAGGCTACTCCTGAGCCAAGCTAGTTGAGATTTTGCCAATTTATTATCGCGATAGCTTTTCATATTGCTCGTCCTAACCAGTATCTGAGAGCATGGAACAGGCTAAAATTCTCATTTAGGGCGTTTAATATAACAGTACGAGATCAAAACGACCGTTCTGTAAAAATTGAACAGTTTGGCCAAAACAAGGCTTAAACATCCGATTTCCTGATAATCAACACCAAACTACAATTAAAACAAACGAACAAACATGAAGAGAAAAAAGAGATAACTGATGGAAGAAGAAGCCGCGGAAAAACATGGGCACCCAACGACAATTTTTGGAAAATATCTGTTCGGAAGACGATTTGAGATCTAGAATTTTCGGAACATTTGTTGTAAAATTTCTTGCTTGCCTGATTCTCCTAGGATTTGAGAACATCTAAAAATGGTATAATTGCTCATTTTTAACGGCTTTTTTCCGTAAAAAAGTCACGTAGAATTTTCGGGAGCCTTTTTTCTGCCTGAAATTTTCGAAAAGGTAGACTTTCAGCGGGGAAATCGGAACAGATGAAAAATTTTGGGGGGATAAAAATATGCCTATATCTTCCGTTTAAATACTAAAATACGTTCAACAATGCTATGTTTAAGTGGTTTTGAACTATATTCTCGTTGGGTGCCCCTGGTAAAAGGAAAAATAATTGTTGTCTAAGTTTTTATAATGATCCATTCCCGAGACAATTGCAAGACAAAGGGCAATAACCGAAAATGAACGTGGAAAGAGTATTAAGGTAGACGTTTATCAACGAGACAAATTTTGTGGCTTGATTTATTTGCATGGCATTTTGATCGATTGTTAGTCAGCGTCTATTTTCAACCTAACATTAATTGTTTGTTTGTTTTTTGCAGATCAAAGAAGAAGGACTTGAAGGTGCCACCGTATCACTTCGTTGACCACAAACTAGAGCTACTGAGCCACAACATCGTTGGCACCAAAGAAGACTTTGAGCAAAAAGAAACTGCTCATGCACATCTTTCTAGCCTCAACTCCCTTAATCAGTAATCAGGCGAAGTGAAGAAACAAGCAATGGCGAAAAGGCAATAGTGAAAAACCAGTAGCTGATTTCAGCTAAAAGTAGTAGGACAGTAAAAATGTAAACAACAATTAAGCCTTGCTTATTAAATCTTGCATTTGAATATAGGTTTTCTGTGTTCCCTTTTTGTTCGTTTTTAATGTCCACACGTAAGCTTCTGGGCGACGTACGCAAAGAAGGTGGGTCAAGGTGGTATAACTATTCGATGTCTTTCCTGAGTCTTGCCCAGTTTTCTCTCCACTTATGTCCAGGATTGAACTCTGCTAGGAAATTTACAAAAGTAGCGAATTTTCGCGATGACCTTGTGAAAACTACAAAATTTACACAGTCAATTAACGATCTTTCGCGATGACCTCGCGAAAATTACAAAATATAGAAAATCAGCGATATTTCGAGATGTCCTTGCGAAAACTGCCAAATTTACAATATTCATGATTTTTCGTCAGACCCTACGGCAAAATTGTCAAAATTCTTCTCCCTTCGCTATGTTAATAACAACACATCCTCAAAGCGGCGCTGCAGATTTTACAATTTGAACGGAAATTGCAAAATTCGCAAATTTCACATTTTTTCGTCAAAACCTTCCGCGAATTTGTCACCATTTTTCTCCCTTCTTTATGTGAAGAAAAACACATCCTCGAAGCGACGCTGCAGGTATGTTTTATAAACTAAGTAAGCCGTGTATAAAATTTGGATTGCAACAAGAGAAACACGATATGAACACGCCTGGTTCTTCAAGTCAAGTACAATTACGCCTAACAATTTCGGATACCCCAAACGGTGAGTAGCGCGTGGATATGTAGTTCCAAGGACCTTCCTCCTTTAAGCGAAATGCGCCGTTACTCACTTTTGATAGCAACAAAAGAGAACCCTAAAGCACGGGTAATAAATATACACCAATTAAGGTTGCTTCAGTGAAGGATGATGCGCCCCCGACGAGCCTAGAAGCCAAGACAGCAAACGCTACTGACGCTTCTATGCTATGTCAGCAGAACGTGAAGACGATGTATTTCCAAACACTGAAGCCTACGCTTTTTAAGACTATGATTTGAGTTTTGGTTTTGCTCTGTGGTAATATATGCAAATGTGGCAAATTCTCAACAAGTTTGCTTGTCTCGTGCACGTGGGAATTTTGGATGGAGTTAAAAAAAATTTGAAGGCGTTTGTTGAACTACAATAACTAACTTAACATAACGCGTTTATTTATTTTTGAGGCAATTTTTTCAAAACTGAATAAAAAAAGAATAGCGTTGTTTGCTTTATTGGAATAACCAGATAATTATTTCTTCGGATAGTGTCAAGTCTACGTTATGGGAGTATTATTTCTAAAGCATTAAGTACAGCAACTAAAAACAAATTGCGAATTTTCGTCAAATTCGGCTATCTCATTTTCACGCCAATGAGTCTGGAAAGGTAAAAGCGTTACCTATGTATGTGCTTTTTTTTTTATTTTAAATAAATTAAAAAATATCCGTAAACTTGTGTTATAAGGAATTGTGAGCTCTTAGTAAAGTAACGATCGATTAAAATGACAAACAATGACAAAGATATTCAATGCTAAGAAATAAAACAATGACAAACAATCTTTATCTTATGTTCTTGGCACCCACAACTTCGTTTAGTACAATGTATCTCCCATAGAAGTTCATAGAGCTATGAACGCGAGTCTGCATCTGCATAACTGGTGTCATTTTATCGCGTTTTTCGGGCGAGCGAAGGTAAGCTCGAAGCGACCGAGGAGCGCCAGACCACCAGACACGCGACTGGAGAAGGCGCGAATGTCTTGCCTTCACTCCTTTGGAAAACGCAAAAAATAACGGGCTATGCGGGCTATATGAATGGGAGCGGTCGTCTTTCTTTCCTCGGAGCTACGCGCAGCGAGTGAAAAAGTGAAATCATGCATCAAAAGAAAACGAGTTAACGCACAGTAAAATAATATTTATTTAGACGGTCAAGTATATATTACGTTGGCACGCAGTCATTGTGCAGATTGTGTTTTACAGCGAGAGCGTGCAGTTGGTAGTACCGAGATTTGATGGCTAAACTCTTGATTGATCAGAAACTCGATCGTTATTTGTCCCAGTCACTGTTAAAAACCACTCCTCAGAAACCGCAGGGGTTGCTGGAAATAACATAGCAAAAAGCTGTTTTGTTCTTTGGAAAAGCTGAGAGTTACATAGTTTTAACTGGCAGTTAAGATTTGTTTTGATTAGGGACGAATGTGCGCTAAGTATACCAAAACTAAGTTGAATTTTGATTCGAATAGTCGAGAAGAATATCAAAATTTCCGAAAAATTGTCAACATGACAATCGACTTTTATCCAAAATGGCGCATTCACTTGCTCTAACTTTACAAGAATGCTTTTAAGCTGATTGATTTGGAGATAAATTTATATGCTATGATGAACACTGGAAAAAGTGACCGTACCTGCGAAATAGAGATGCACCCGAAAATATGGCCATGTTTCAGTATGGAGGAAAACTATAAAATGGCGCAAACCGGCTCATAAGAAGGTAGCTGGCGTTAAGTTTTTGCAGTCCATTGCTTTAATGACTCAAAATAAAGCGATTAAATGCATTCATCTCTTACATAAAATTAAACTCCGGCTTAGAGATTTAGGGAAAGAAAAATAAGTTCCTTAATTTATATCGTTCTTGCTTTTATGGTGACAATTCACTCCGTTTAACACTGGCTCTGATTTAAAAAACAAATGAATCACATCAGAGCTAGTTTACATCATAGATGTTGAGTCACACAAACAAAGCGGCTGTCAAAAGTTTAGCGGCTTTTTTATAACCTAAAGTAAGAATGGAGAGTTTGCAAAATATACATCAATAATTCACATTGGCGGGGGGGGTAGGGGATTAGACTGTTTTGCTTAAATTATGAAGTACAAAACTTTCTGTGTAAAATGATTCTTTTTCAGTGACTGAAGATTAATAATCATAGAAATTTGGTCCTTAGAAAAACGGAATTATCAGTTGGTAAATACTGATGCCCCATGGGTAATAAACTAACGATTTCAAGAGAAAAAGAACTTTTCTCAGTTTAAATGAAATAAGCCAGAGTCTAAGAAATTTTCGACCAGGAGTAATGAAAACACCCTATTATTCCTCATTCGGTTTGTATAGCTTTTTGCCACTGGCAAGCAATTTTTTTTAAGTTATACATTAAGAGGGTGCCCTCAAGCACTACCACAAAAGAGCATGAAAAGGCCATCTAGACGTCTGACTATTAATTTCTCGGAGGTCATTTAGTTTCAAAGTCGGTAAATTCTTGTCTGTCTCGGTTAATTAATATCTTCAAAAGAATATAAAAACAGCGGCGGGTTGCCAAAGAGAAAATGATTATACAGCAATGGCCATAAGGGATCACAAGGTGCTGATTGCCTAAATTGTTATTCAGGAGTCGTTTAAATGTAACCGATTCTAGTATTAAGCAGACGTCGCTTTTCTGGATTTTGTCGCGAATTTTCCATCAAATCGTCAGTTTTTCAACGAAATCGTCTCTTATATATCAAGACTGAATTGCTTTGCGTGGTGCCTCTACTAGGAGGTTAAAGCAAGGACGACGCCTACAACAGAAACTAGAAATAAAATAGCCCGGGTAAAATAGCCTCGAACTTACACTAATTAGATATTAAGAAAAAAAAAACCTCTGGAACCCAGAGTAGCTCTAATCACACTTTTTGATAAATTTCTTTGCTGTCATCGCACGAGTTACCTTTTCTCTTGGCCTGTCCGGCTCGACCTCCGACCTCCATAGCATTGCGATCATTCCTTGGTCGTCGCTTAAAGACGGAATCCACCAGGAAACTGAGTAATTATAATTTTCAGTGGACAAAAACCTTGTAACAGAATAATTTAAAGAATATTGCAATCTTTTTTTTTACATTTTTAAGGGCTGTAGATGTACTTATAGTTATTTGTAATAACACCAAAGAAAATTTCTTATGGGAGCCCGAGAAAATAAATGTCAAATTTCACAAGAATCGTGAAAACGCAGGTAAAATTCTGACAATTTCATGTGTAAGATGTCATTTTGTGAAATTTGACATTTGCGGCCTGTGTTTCTGCTTCTGGGTCTTTGGTTGTTTTGTAAGGCTGTTTTACATAGGCTGCTGAACACAGGCTTATTAAAGACTATGCAATTTTGTAACTAGTTACTACCACTTTGAGCTACTTTGCTGCCGAAGTACGCAAGATCTGCTAGTCAATTTTTTCTGTTTGATCTCCGTCTGCTTATTTGTCCACCTGTTTTAACAGATGTGGAACAAGGATTAGACCCCTTGTTTTTATTGTAATAAACACTTGTAAACTATAACCTTTACCGGCGCTTATCTGGTTTGCTTAAGCAGTATAATTATATTCTTTTTAAGTTGCCGCTGTTCCTTATAACCTAAACTTACCGTCAAATTATCAGGTTAGATAAAATCAAAATGTTGACCTTATGTCTTCAAGGGGCGTTTTTTCGAGGGCGAGCTGTCGGAGCTGTGTAACAGTTACCGTGTTAAGTAGGAAAATTATGTTGCTAACAATTATTAATTCTAGCATTCAAAGAACACAAGTAAATGACAAAAAAAAAAATGTTTGTACTTGAAACAAATCATTTTTGTAGTCTTTTACCACGGTGTAAATTTACAAAGCGAGTACGTGCTCTATATGCATGGCCAATAATGAGAAAACTGAAGCCAACTTTTAATTTCTCCAAGGTGATTTAATTTGACTGTGCAAAGACCAAAACAAGTTGAAAACAGTGAAAGGCGGTTAATAAAAAGAGGATAGCTCTAATAAAGCCAAACAAGCTTTTAGAGGTAACCGCTTCTTTAAATAGGTAATGCCGTACAGAGGCTTATCAAAGACTGTACATCTATATTACCATTTTGCTGCTGAAGGACCTGAAGTACGGAAGACGTTAATGTTTTTTTTTTCTGTCTGATCTTGTGGCCGTCTGTCTATCCCACCTGTT